TATATATATATATATATTTGTTTTAATCAAAATTATTGCTACGGACAATTTGGTAGTCGCTGAAAGTTGGTAGGGACATGTCCCTAGCATCACCCCCTAATTCTACGACCCAACAAAAACATTTGAGTTTTCAGACAGAGAGAGACGAGGATGCAAAGGTTACGTCTAGCTGCTGGAGAGCGCCTGGCGTGCCGTAGATGGTCAGCTCAGCAGACGGGTACTGATTGCTCAGGATGAGGTCCGTCTGATCAGCGTAGATCCCTGGACTGACAGGCAGCTGGACGCTGAGCTGCTCTCCGCTGAAGAGAGAGCCCTGCACGCCGGCCCTCACCTCCACCGCCGTCATAGACAGACTCAACACCTTCACCTGCTGCTCGCTCATGGGCTTGAAGCTCAGCGCGCAGCTGTAGAAGCCTGACACACAGAGGAGATACAGATCACAGGGTTAAACCTGTCACTGTGAAGTCAGGCTGAAGTCCAAGGCTCCTGTGAGAGACCTGTGCTGGCATCGAAGGCCGTGTGAGTGTGGTAGACGTCATGAGGAGAGAAATCCACGGTGCTGCTGGTGAAGCGCAGCTGACAGCTGACGGAGGACTCTGGGTGGAGCAGAGCCACGCTGTCGGACTGAGACGACGAGCAGCTTCCTGTGGACAGATAACACACGAGTGCTATGATGCTGTTCACAAAAGCACTACGATTCAAAGAAATGGAACACAGCACCTGTTTATAAGAACGTTACATTTGCTTGCGTTCATTTGACAAAAGCTTACAATGCAGTCATAATAAACAACTGAAGACTTCAGATGCAAAAGTCCGTCTGAGATTTTTCTTTTAAATGCACATTTTTATCAGGTTCCTATGTTTAGGTTCAGTAATTTCACTTTAATTGCAATGCAAAGGTTGTTAGTTAGTAATTCAATGTCTTATTTTCAAAAATGTCAAATGTTGATAAAAATCAGGGTTTCTGCAGGATATTTAAGCTCAAATTTATAAAATGAATACCACATGAGCAGGGTAGGGCAATGTCTATAGTAACATATTAAACTGTAAAATGCATGATTTACAGTCCAGATAAAGGTTTTCACAAAGACAAAATGTTTTATAAAATGATACACTCCACATTTCAGCCTTTCAACCATTTGTAAGTCAAATTATTATATTAATTTAAACAATTATTATCAATAAATTATTATATTAATTACATTACATATAAATACATTTTACTGTTTAGATTTTTGTAATGCATTGTCTTCTTATCGATCCACCAGTTCACATTTACAGCTCTGCGTGTTTGCAGGGTAAAAACATGGGTTGATTTTCACATTGGTCTGAACAAAAACAACAGGCTTATTGAAAATGCATTCATTCATTCATTCGGAACAGCAGAAATATAACATTCCACAACAACACAGGACTCTCATGTTTATTGAATGAAATCATAGCCCTTTGAAGTTTAATCGTCACATAAGCCGTTTCGCAATTCTGGTCTTTCTGTCCCCAAATTTAAGACCTTTTCCAATCAAAATTTCAAAATTGTACTTTCTTGTACAATATAAGATTTTTTATGGCCTTAAATTTGATACAAATAAATGTAAGACTTCTTTTTAAGGACCAGCGCAAAATGCTCATTTAAAAGAAAAATCTCAGACGGACTTAGAGGCTTTTGCATTCGTGATTCTTAGGAATCAAACCCATGACGTTACGGTTGCTAGCGGGGCCCTTTCAAATTGACCAAATTCTGTGTTTAATTTTTTCTGGATTTCAATGTAATGGTTAAAAACACTGAACAGTTCTGTTGTATGTCAAGCACGATTGAGTCTCTCTCTAATGCAATGCGTGGAGTGTTCTGTACCGATGAGGTTGCTTCCCGTGTCCCTGGTTGACATCAGGACTTTAGGGTCTCTGTCCTTCTTCACTGCAGGAATCACGACAGACGTCCTAGACGCACCTTCAATACGAACCTAAACAAAGCACAGCATTACAATACAATCACAATTATGTTTATCTGCAGTTTAACAGGCATCACTCTTGCGGACCAAAGACTTTTCATGATTTTTCCTTCTAAATATCTGATTCAGAATATCTCCGAGCTGAAGTCCACGTGATTAACCTCACCTCTCTGTAGGTGCGGAGTTGACCCGGAATCTCGTAGTACACAGTGACTGTGCCCTTGTCTCTGGCTACTGCTGCTCCAGTCCTGGGATCGATCTCCAGCAGAGCGCTGGACGACGAGCTCCACACACCTGATGCACCTGCACATGAACAATGACAGTAAATGCTTACTTTGGGCTGTCAATATTTGTATGTGTGCGTGTTTCCTCTTACCCTCCTGATTAACAAACTGTGCAGAAAAGCACACAACGTCTCCCACGACGAGCCGCTGGGCTCCAGCCGGATGAATGGCATGCTGGACCGGCAGAGCGAGGAAATCAGCGAGTCCGGCCTGCTCCGAGTCCCAGACCCCCAGCAGAGTCAGACCCACATTCACCGTCCGCACCGTCAGCGTGCCGTTACTCGAACCCTTACCGACCTGCACCAAATCATCCCTGCAAACATAACACAGACGGTGGGGTGCTTAACATCATTCAAACACATTGCTCAAAGTAAAAAAAAAAAAAGAAGCATATGCACTGATTTTTCCCAATATAATTATTATAACATATTCATTATCTGCAATTACCACCTTTAACATATGTGACCCTGGAGCACAAAAGCAGTCTTAAGTCGCTGGGGGATATTTGTAGCAATAGCCAACAATACTATGGGTCAAAATTGTCGATTTTTTTTTAATGCCAAAAATCATTAGGATATTAAGTAAAGATCATGTTCCATGAAGATATTTTGTGAATTTCTTACCGTAAATATATTCAAACTTAATTTCTGATTAGTAATATGCATGGCTAAGAACTTAATTTGGACAACTTTAAAGATGATTTTCTCAATATTTAGATTTTTTTGCACCCTCAGATTCCAGATTTTCAAATATTTGTATCTCAGCCAAATATTGTCCTATCCTAACAAACCATACATCAATGGAAAGCTTATTTATTCAGCTTTCAGATGATATATTAATCTAAATTTTTAAAAAATTGACCCTTATGACTGGTTTTGTGGTCCAGGGTCACATATTACATTATAATGTTCAGATGCCTGAACATTTGTAAATAAATATTCATTCTTTTTTTGATTTGCAACCATATCTGACATGTCAGATGCTCTATTCCTCTGTGTGACGAAAAGCTAAAATATTTTAGTATTACATTAAGAGATAATTTAATCGCAATATATGGGGTGAAACCGCTGAAGAAAAGTGAAAATTCTTACTTCATTTTAAAAATAAAGCTGACTATTTATGAAAGACAGCCTAGACTTTGCAAAACATCAGATTTCGAGTTACAGGGAGTTAAAAAGTTTGGGTTAACCTGGAGAGAACAGCCAAAAATTAATCTTTCACAATGGAAATAAAACATGATAAAAAAATAATAATAATGCTTTGTATACATTATATACATACTATTTTTTTACATTTTATTTTTACATTAAATCAATTTATTATTTTCTGATTAGTCAATTAATCCTTACCAATAACCTAAGTTAACCTACCAATAATTAATAACTGCAACTTCTGGCGATGTCCATAACACCGGGAAGTTTTATCAGAATTGACAGCGTGTTAAATTAATTAGTCCAACTGAGGCACTAGTTTATCTGTTATATATTTTAAAGAACCAACAACAAACACCTTCAAATGCGTCATTTCAGCCCTAGCTGCTGTTGAATTTGGATGTGAACCGTTTAGTCCATGTTTGATAAATATGTATGTTATGTTATTTTATTATTATATAATTCACCTGTTGGTGGAGAAGCGGAGCGCGGAGTTGTGGCTGTGTAAGGTTTCTCCCGTGCTGTCGTGGAAATGAACGGTGAAGGTCAGAGCGGCTCCCAGCGGGATGGCAGACACAGTCTCTCTGTTAGACATGTACACGACTGGACTAGTGCTCAGACGCAGGTACGAGACGGTCACCACCTGACAACAAACACCAGCTCTGTGTTACACTCGTACTTCACATGGTTGACTGCTGACACTGAATCATTCATTTACAGTTAAGAGCTATTATGAATTACAAAACATTATACAGATAAGTAAGGGATAATGTACAGTCATAAAATCGCAAGATTCATGAACATGTACTGTAGGTATCCCCCTGAAGTAACTATCCCACTGCATGACTCTAAATAAATAAAAACTAGTGCTGTCAAACGATTAATCGTGATCACTCACATCCGAGATAAAAGTTTTTGTTTACATAATATATGTAAGTGTACTGTGTATATTTATTATGTATATATCAATACACACACATATAGAAAATATTTAGAAAATATATTTACATGTATATATTTATATGCTTATTTTTTATATGATTTATAAAAACATTTGACATATAAACATAACATTTTTCATAAATATATACATGCATGTGTCTGTATTTATATATAGTATACATAATAAACATACACAGTATACACGCATATATTATGTAAACAAAACCTTTTATTTCGAATGTGATTAATCATGATTAATCATTTCACAGCACTAATAAAAACATACACACATTGCTCATAGCTTGTCAGTGAAATATATGGCAATGAACTATGAGTATGGAAGAAAAATTATGACAAATGTCAATTGACAAAAGCATGTTGAATTGCACTACCTGAAAAAATAATGCATTGTATTAACAGTGTTTGCATTTTAATGCCTTGTATTTTCAGGGCTTGCATTTTTTTTAAATTGCGAATTTGTAAAGTGAAATAAAATGGATCGAAAATTACCTGTCGGATATTATACATCGTATTTTTGAACAGATTGAATATTTCAGAAATGAATTCAGGAAGGTGAATATGAATTACTGAATTTTTAATTATGAAAACAACAACTATGCTAAATTTCAGCCCCTAAAAATTAGAGCCCGACGATATATTGTTTTGCCGATATGAGCATGTCACAGATATATCGGTATCGGCAAATATGCCGCAGATATGTCGCCGATATGAACCTTTTTTTAACAGAATATATAGACCTTTTTCCTGAGTAAACGATTAGCGCCACCATTACGCAGATTAAATGCTTCTGAATGGTGTAATTACTTAGTTTGTCCATTGTTTGCTACTGGTGACCCAGGTCAGGTCAGTGTAGAGATGCGCGGATGAGCTCAAACTTCACCCGAGTCCGCTGCCTCAAATTATCCACCCGCACCTATATTTAATTGTCACATTACAATGATTCCAATTCTTAGCTTTGCATGATGATATGATGAATGGATGGTTAATTTTTAACAGCAGATTCAGTGACGTTAGAGACTAGAGCTGATCTGCTCATCACGGCACGCGTCTGCGGCGCATTAAAACCTGTGTTACGGACACCGGAGCTGATCGCACACACTCAGTCAATGCTGGTGTTTATACCCAGAACTCATGCTTATCACATCGGTCACGTCACATTTCCTAAATCAGCATATTTTGTCAGTAATGTAGCAGATTAAAAAGTTAGTATCTTTCTGCAGTCCAATAGACGGCAGTGCGGTGGTGGCTTGAGTCTGTTGAATGGTGATTTAATGCTACGTTGTCACCTAGTTGGAGAGACTCAATGCTAAGTAAATAAACAACAATGTCCTCGTCTTTTACTCTCACTATCAGCTTATCATACTCGTTTGCTACATTAGTAGGGCCCTATGATTTCCGCGATGCAGAAAACACGGCCGGAATCGCGGAATCCAGTCATAAAAATGGAATTTACTGTATAAGGCGGAATTTCACGGAATCTTTCATATTTTTGATGAATAAATAAAAAACAGAATCAAAAAGAAACCGAGCATAGTAGATTTTTTTTCCCCCCTGTTGTACCGAAATCGTATCGAACCATGACCCCCGAACCGAGGTATGTACCGAACCGTGACATCTGTGTACCATTCCACCCTAATATATATATATATATTGTTCTATTTGTGTTTTAAAGTTATTTATAATAAGTGATGTGAAGTGTACTGTTAAGTGCACTGATGTCAGGCTCATTTTAGATAATAAAGTTCATTGTTAAGTTTACTGCCTCCATTACATATTTTTGTCACATCATTATGTGTTTGATCACCACATTTGAGTTATCATTGCTAAAAATGTTTATGTATATATATTCTGTTTATGTATATACTGTATTCTATATACAGTACCAGTGGGAATGGGAATGGGAAGTGTGTCCAAACTTTTGACTGGTACTGTACTATAATAGACACAAAGAATATCGGATATATCAGACTTTTTTTACTCCCTAATATCATTATCGGCCCCAAAAAACCCATATCGGTCGGGCTCAACTAAAAATGCAAGCCCTAAAAAATACAAGGCATTAAAATGCAAACACTGTTAATACAATGCATTATTTTTTCAGTTAGTGCAATTCAACATGCTTTTTTGTTTCAAAGACATTTGTCATTATTTTTCTTCCATATATGAGCTAATTATTATTTTTTTTATCTTAATTGTAGATTAAACTGTAATATTATTAAAATATTAATTTATGCATTATTACTAATCTGCAATTCAAATTAGTTATACCTTCACTTGGAGAGACTCAATGCTAAGTAAATAAACAACAATGTCCTCGTCTTTTACTCTCACTATCAGCTTATCATACTCGTTTGCTACATTAGTAGGGCCCTATGATTTCCGCGATGCAGAAAACACGGCCGGAATCGCGGAATCCAGTCATAAAAATGGAATTTACTGTATAAGGCGGAATTTCACGGAATCTTTCATATTTTTGATGAATAAATAAAAAACAGGTCAGTACACTAAAATCAAATCATGATATAGACTAGTGTCTGTGAATATCAAACTGCAAAAAGACTATTTAAATACAAATCCTCATGTTCTGTGTGTTAATTTGATTACCAGAAAATACACAACACAGAATTTGTGGAAAAAATTATTTTATTTTTAAATAATGTATAAATTAATTATATTATTATTTTATTCACTTTAGATGTTCACATTTGGAAAAGCTGTGCTTCCTGCATAAACCTGCCCCTGTTGGTTTGGCAGTAGCGTGTTGCCCTACACAGTTACCTTGTTTATTTTCTTAATTCAAGTTATATATATATATATATATAGTTCTATTTGTGTTTTTAAGTTATTTGTAATAAGTGAACTTTACTGTTAAGTGCACTGATGTCAGACTCATTTTGAATAATAAAGTTTCACCACATTTGAGTTATCATTGCTAAAAATGTTTATGTATATATATTCTGTTTATGTATATACTGTATTCTATATACAGTACCAGTGGGAATGGGAATGGGAAGTGTGTCCAAACTTTTGACTGGTACTGTACTATAATAGACACAAAGAATATCGGATATATCAGACTTTTTTTACTCCCTAATATCATTATCGGCCCCAAAAAACCCATATCGGTCGGGCTCAACTAAAAATGCAAGCCCTAAAAAATACAAGGCATTAAAATGCAAACACTGTTAATACAATGCATTATTTTTTCAGTTAGTGCAATTCAACATGCTTTTTTGTTTCAAAGACATTTGTCATTATTTTTCTTCCATATATGAGCTAATTATTATTTTTTTTATCTTAATTGTAGATTAAACTGTAATATTATTAAAATATTAATTTATGCATTATTACTAATCTGCAATTCAAATTAGTTATACCTTCACAGCGATGATGATGGTTTGATTGACGCCGAATGTTTCCTGCGAGCTGATCTGTAGCGATGCAGTTCCTGTCAGAGATCCAGACGTCAGGTGACCTTTATCATCCACCTGAAGGAGAGCAGCTCTGTCCGGACAGTCCAGCACACGGTAGGACAGGGAGCCCAGTCCATCTCTACAGCACACAGCACACCGTTATAATGAGCACTGCTCAACAACACGCAAAGCTTTGATGATCTGGAACTTCATTTTGACATGCTACTCAATATTATTTGCTGGATCTCTGGAGTACTTCATTCTGATCTATCTTCTCAATCTTAACATTTAATTTACAGCAGTCAAGAATTTCTTAATAATGACTGTTGTCCAAGGCACTGTATAACTGACCGAAAATAATTTGTCTATTTATTTATTTGCTTTTTTGAGCAGCCATTCCACCAGCGGGATAAATGTAGAGTATGTCATTACCACAAAACAAAACCCTTCAGGATTATCATTTAACTTAAAAGCAATGTCACACTCTGAATATTGGATAAAATGATATACAACAGCATGATGCAGGTGTGACACTGCCTAAATATTAATTCCACATGCTACGCATACATATTTATGGTAGTTTAGTCAAAATTTGTTCATTTAAAAACACAAACACAATATTTAACTGCAAGTGCCTTCTGAATTTGAACTGGAGACACTTAATTAAACATGTAATATGTGTTCTGTACTGCATTTCTGTCACACTACGGTTCTGTGTATTTGTAGGGCAGCACAGCTCACATTCATGGCAAAGCAGCATGGGTTCAGTCTAACTGTAACGGTGTGTGTTGATCTGAACAAGGGTTTCTGCTGAGGTACCTGTTGGTTTGGAGTTTGAGCAGTGAGTTTGGGGACATCAGTATCTCCTCAGCTTGAACCTCTGGGTTCAACAGCTGCAGTTTCTCATAAACCTGAAATTCAGCATATGGCTCTCAGTTTAACACATGTTCTTCAAAATACAGTGTTGCGATTTACAGTCAAACCAAAATTTATTCAGACACCTTCGACATCTCAAATTATATCACAGTTTATTCGCTATAGTTTAGAACAGCGTTTCCCAAACTTTTTTTAGTCGCGGCACCCATTGGAAATTTTAACAAACTTGTGGCACCCTACAAAATTTATTTTGTCACAATGATATCTGGAGTCTGAATAATGTTTGGTTTGACTGTATATACTAAAAAGAAAACATTCAATGCTTAATATGGGGGCCAGTAGCACAGAACACAGTAATGCTCTGTGAATGACAGAATGAGGTTCAGTCCACCTGTATCTGTATCTCATCCTGGAGCTCGAGGGCACTGTCCTGCAGATGTCCAGCCAGAGGAACACTGGTCTTCACCACCACCCTCAGTCCTGTGCGGCCTTTACTCCTGCCAAACACACTCATGGCGAAGTTGTGCTCAGCGCTGAGCTGTACAGACGCCTGCAGGACACACACAGACACAGACACACTGCTTCATCTGAACCACCACACCCCTGCACACGGAAGATTGCTCTTTTTGTATAATTTGTTTTTTGTGGTACCCTTAAAGGGATAGATAGTTCAGCCAAAAATTAAAATTAAGTCATCATTTACCCTTGTACTGTTATCAAATTAATTAACAAATTTTCATTTTAAGCAAACATGATTTTGAATGTTCCTTTGCGTTCATTCCGTAAAAATCAGTAAGTGGTCAACAGGTTGATAAACCTATCATAAACTACTGAGATACCAGCCCAAACTGTGATAAAGTTCAAATCAACACAACAGATACTGAAATCAAGCACTGTAGAGCACAGGGAGAGTGTTATTCTGACCTCTGCATGGCGTGTGTGAACGTCCAGAACGTCTCTCTTAGTCACAGACCAGTGGAAGGTCAGTCCAGGAAGAGCGTTCCCGAAGGAGAACGGCGTCTGGCTGCTGGTCAGGCCCATCACGTACACCGGCATCTACAGCCACAGAACAAGCCTTTATCACTACTAGGGTCGGGTGTCGCTTCAATCTTATCAATTCCAATTCAGATTCTGCTTATCGATTCCAATGTGGTTAAATTAGGTCCCACTTTATATTAAGTGGCCCTAATACCTGTGCACTTACATAGTAAGTAGATGTGTACATAGTATGTAACCACAGTGTAAGTACACATTGGTACATAGTATCTAGAGCTGTAATATTTCTGTAACTACACACATGTAACAACCCTCCGAATGGTTTGTGTAAGTACAAATGTGTAACAGGACATGTATAACTAAATTTTTTAACAATATGTATAAGAGTAATTGGAACAATTTGATCCAGGGGGTGGAGATGGGTAGGTTTAGGGATATGTAAAGTGAGAGGAGTTGGATCTCAAGTTGGTGCACCACTGTAATACCAGTGTACTTACATGGTAACTCCTCAGGAACTGTCCACTTAATATAAAGTGTAACATTCTGGACACCAACCACAATTTATAAGTAAAGCCTAACTTACTGGCCACTGCTGTGTAACAACAGAGTAATTACATGGTAAATCTATTGGAATTGTTTACTTAGTTTACACATTTGTACTTTTATTACCAAAAAGTGTTGTTACCAATGTCCTGTTACACATTTGTACTTACACATACCATTCAGTGGGTTGTTACATATGTGTAGTTACACAAACATTACAGCTGTAGATACTATGTACCAATGTGTACTTACACCTGTGGTTACATACTATGTACACATCTAGTTACTATGCAAGTACACAGGTATTAGGGCCACTTAATATAAAGTGGGACCGATTAAGAGCTGTTAAGAGCAAAATAGAGCTGCACGATTCTGGATAAATTGAGACTTTATATTTTTTTAAATGGAGGTTGTAGTTCTCTTACAATTCTGAAGAAGAACCATTAGACAAGTAAACAAAATCTCATGGAATTTATGAATGGAACGATTCAATGACTCACTCAAGATTTACTCGTTTCATTACTGGATGTTTTTGAATGAATCTCTTGAACGAATGATTCAAAGACAAATACATTTTTAACAGCCCCTTTTCACCACCTAAAAATAAAAGATGTGCCAGGTATTGATGGGTGGAATTTAAATTTAGAGCTGTTAAGAGCAAAATAGAGCTGCACGATTCTGGATAAATTGAGACTTTATATTTTTTTAAATGGAGGTTGTAGTTCTCTTACAATTCTGAAGAAGAACCATTAGACAAGTAAACAAAATCTCATGGAATTTATGAATGGAACGATTCAATGACTCACTCAAGATTTACTCGTTTCATTACTGTTTTACGTTTTTGAATGAATCTCTTGAACGAATGATTCAAAGACAAATACATTTTTAACAGCCCCTTTTCACCACCTAAAAAAAAGATGCGCACACAGGAATTGACAGGCGGAACTGAATTTTTAATTTTACAACAAGTATCCGATTCTGGAATTGGAATTGATTTTCGATTCCCAGCCCTAATCACAACCTTACAATACTCTGCAGATAAAAACTGAACTCATAAAGTGTGTTTACCAGCGTTCCCGTCTTCATTCGGGTGATAGGAGCTCGGATCCTAATGGCCTTCAGCTGGACCACCTCCACATCCACCTGATCCTGTAAGAGATGGTGTTTAACTCACTCGTCACACAGATCAATGCGGCTTCTGTCTGCGGAGCATCACCTTCGACACCACCACCAGTTTGCCCGTTTCCGTGTCGACCGCCTGAACCACGCCGGTCACGCTCATGTTGCCCGCCGACAGGCCCTTGACGTGCCCCAGACCGCTGACAGAGGCGATGCTCTCGTGGGACAGAGAGAAGAGGATGTTGGACTGGGGCTGTGGTCCTCCCTCTGACGTGATCTACAAATGAACAGGTGCAGTGCATCCAGTCAGTCGATTTCTGAAGATGATCACTGATCACAGGCATCAGAGCCAGTTAGATGTGTTTCATGTTCACTCGATTGTGACAGCACATCAAAACAATTCTCACTATTAACTAGTTGCTTATTAGCATGCATATTACTAGCATATTGAGTACTTATAAAGCGCATATTAAAGCCTTATTCTGCATGATCATATTTTAGATCCCTTAATCCACCTAAACTAAACAACTACCTTACTAACTATTAATAAGCAGCAAATTAGGAGTTTATTGAGACAAAAGCCATAGCTAATAGTGAGATGTGAACCCCAGACTAAAGCGTGGGCCAAATTTAATTCCAGATGTAAGGTGTGGTATATTCCTTTTATAATCCAAACGTTAAGAAATGCAGGTTATCATCCTTGTCATCTGGGAAGCAGACATCCATGTCATAACCAGAGATGTTTGCCAGTGGCAGTTCGACTATTATTTCATCCATAACGCTGTAGTACAAGCAAAACAATGGCTAGCACATGAGGGAACACATGCAGGATGTATGCATAATCGTGCAGGCTTCACTTGTGTTTTGTGTGTTGATCTGCTCACTCACATCAGATCTGAGTGCATTAGACAAGTGAAGTGTGCTGTATTAAATAAGATCAGTTTGAGAAAGCGGATGACTTGCCTGCATCATTGCTCCGACTATCAGAGTGACTTTTCTGGGCAGCAACCTGAAGGGAGGAAATACCTACAGATCAAAAAAAGACAAAAAAAAAAACGTTTTTTTAGGATTCTCCATCATCACAAAGAAACTAAGCATCGAATTTGAATTTTTAGTAGCAACCTGTTGTGTAGCTTCAAGAGAGTAGCTTTCTCCATTCTTCATTTATTCATCTATTATTTAGAGGATATAACAAACTAAAATATAATAATGTAATGATTAATACGTTAAATAATTAAAAAATCAAAATAACTACAGCAAACTACAGCTCCCGGCTGGATAAAAGCAGTAGTTGTATCCAGCGAGTGTTTTATAACAGATGCTCAGTTTTTGAGGATCAGTGGTGTTTATGTACATACAGGCATCGGACGCTCCAAACATGAGCGCTTAATCGCAGAGGAACTGCTCACTGATAACGTCGAGCCGCTTTCAGATCGCTACATTTCCACACATGCAGAATGGTTTCATTTTTAATTTGTATTTTGGTGTGTTTAGTGATTCTGAATGGATCCGTATAGTGGTTTACATGCAGTCCTTTGGCATCTATCTCCCCGTGGTCTTGTTTGGTAATGCAGGTCGACTTGTGCTCATTTGTTACTGTATAATTGAGCTTTACGTACTTTTAAGTTGTATAGATAGAATATCTGCAGTGGCATTTTTGCAAAGTTTGTTTGCAAAAAAAAAAAAAAAAGACACGGAATGTTTAAATCTATCTTGAATTTCTATTGTTTAAAAATAATTGCATGAAATTGAAAAGTAATAACACTAGAATTCAAAGGTTTTAATAGAAAAGGTTGGGGGGCCTTGCAGTATTGATTTAGAGAGGAGGGGGTCTTGGAGTAAAAAAGGTTGAGAACCACTGCTTTAGGTAAATGCAGGCCTGGTTCTACAGGGGAACTAAGAATTTAACATTATTATTATTTAAAATTTTAAATTAATGCAATATAAAGATGCATCACAACAAGCATTTTTATTTATTTTATATGCATTTTATTTATTTATTTTTCACTTGGTACGAGTTTCTCATTTTAAAAAAACGTAGATCTCCACACAAAAGAGTGTGGGCACCCCTGGTTTAGTATATGTTTTTTGGATTCTTCATGCTAGCAATATTAGATCCAGTCCCTTTACTAGATCCGTCAAAACAGATCCCTTTTGTCTGGTCAGCAGCGTTTTGTCTGACACCCAGAAGCAGTTAACAGCAAGTCCCAAAACTATACTGACTGCTGACTGGGTTTTGAATACCAGACAAAAAGCATATCTTCTCACAGGATCTGGTAAAGGTATTGAAAAACACTACACACATTAAGCTTGGCGCAAACCATTCATCAAGCTGCAAATGAGGGCACAGGAGAGGCTTACTTCAATCTGCTGGGGTGCAGAGCTGATTTTCCTGCCATTTTTGTCTATGACGACAGCAGACACACTAGTTTGTCCGATCACCAGACCTTTGACCAGAAATGTGGCTGTATCTTCTTCTGAAGAATCGGGCAGAGCTCTGACAAACAGCAGAGGTTTATTAGCTCTCTCAGACAGCAGAACACAAAGCTCAGGAGATCTAGAAACGGTTACTCACTGCAGGGATATAATGGAGGACGCAGCTCTCAGCTTCAGGTTCATGACAGAGAAATATCTGGACAGGAAAGGCTTCTTGTTGCCATCCAAAACCCGAACATATGCTTTGACTGACTTGCCGATCTCCACCTGAAATGAATGTGTCATCAGGACTTTATTTTTAATTGAACATTCATAAAATGCACATGCATGGAATTTCAAAACTGATTTGTTTTTGTGAAAATCTTTAAAGAATTATTTTAACATATGAATGATTCTTTTTTTTTTTTTTTTGGATTGGATGTCCCC